GCGGGATTGGGGAACGATGAGGTTGGAGGCCGTAGATGGGAGGTCACCTGAGGTGATGAGGTTGTGGATGGTTTGGGAGATGATGGTTTGGTGCTCGGGGGTGGGGTCATGATCAAGGGGGCGGTAGGAGGAGGTGTGGGAGGGTTGGTGCCTGGCCTCCGCGACGTAGTATACAACTGGTCGCCAAATAGTGGTCCTTTTTGGGTGCCTCATTTTAGAAAGCATGTTAAGACAACAAGTGTTAGTAAGTTGCTAAACAAAATCTCTGGAATTGGGGTTCAAAATAACTATAGTTACGGCGAATTTTTTTTGGTGGAGGAAGAAAATAAGACATTTTTAAGGTTGTAATGACGAAGGTCGTTTGATAATAGTCTGACATCATAAATATTCCGTACAGAAAGTAGACCCCGATACTGGCAGCACAAAAAAATCAAACTCATCAAAGACAAACCCGCCCTCTCTCTATCCTGCAAGCACCTTTTCGCACAGCGTACCGTACAGACTACAAGGACTGGTTCTCACAATGATTTCTCCGCCTGCCTCACTGTCTGGACCTCCTAGTTTGAGACCGTTCACTCGGTTCCTCGAGAGTTCCCTCTCGGTAGGTGGATTGATCAAAACTTTAGGGACTATTCAAGTGATGTAAAGTTTCTGTAACAGCGTGCACTCCGTGAGATCAAGGCTAGTAAGTACACGACAACATCGCCGACGTGAAGGGTGGTTCGACGGGAGAACAGGTGGAAGAAAAGGAGGGGAGAGCACCAACTGCGAATTTAACTTCATGAGAATCCCTCTTCCCCCACCCCAATCACTCACTTCGTCGCTCGGGAATGGCCTGTGGATGCTGATACGATCCGAGCTGTGCCTCCGCGAACTCATGCTCCCCCGGTGGGGGAGAATACACTCAACGCACGTCCGGGCTGTGCGCGTGCACATTTGAGCTGGGACCCTTTCCCGTCCTTTTGCGCGGGCACACTCGCAGGGAAGTCCGCTGGGTGCGTGCAACTGCTCCCCTCTCCCTCCCCGGGGTCTCGACACTGAGTGCGTACCCCTTCGTCCCGCGCGGTGGAAGCAGCCGAGTTCCCCGCGTCCGGCAGCGGGGCGCGTGGTGGGCGCGGAAAGGGATAACGGTTTGAGATAATGGCCGTTTAGTTTGAAAGGGCTGGATCTTTTCGCCCCTGCCGGTCAACAACAGCAGAACACGGTGCGGTTTCTATGGCGACGTGTATTTTTAAAGTGTTGGGCGGTGACGCCATGTGATAGACATTCCCGCGAACCAATCGTAGCGCGGGAGACGCCGAAAAGCAACCTATTGGAGTGTTTCCAAGATCCAATCGGCGTGCAATGGGAGGTGGAACCAGCGCATTGCCAGGGTGACGGCGACTATTTCTGCCGGCTATCTTGGCGGCTGGTGTGGAGACGGAGAGCCTTAGCCCTCTCACCACCAAGCGCTGCTGGTAACCAGAGACATCTCAACAGGTCTGACAGCACCTGTTGGAGATCGAGGGAAACAGCGATAATATGATTATGGGCGAGAACCGCATAGTAACCGCAATGAAAATCGTATAGGGATTAGAAAGAGGAACACAAGTAGAACAATCATCCTGCTTCCCTTGTCAGTAAGATCATATCTGACCTTCTATTTGAACTCACTTTCTCGCTAACACTTTAGTACCTCACAATTGGAAGAGGATAAGAACATGCTCTTCGATCCTGGAAGACCGATTGATGTTTGGTTTCTTATCCTCATGATTTACATTATGGGTGCTTTATCAGACATCTTGGACTCCAAAAATTAACTTTGACTTGAATGTATTCAGTGACTAATTGTCGAAAGCTTCTGGGACAGAGAATTCCAGAGGTTCATAATCCTGTCAGCAAATAAGTTTCTCCTTAATTCAGTCCTAAACGAAAGACACCTTATTCTATCTGGACTCTTTAGCCAGAGGAAAAATCCTCCCAACATCTACTCTGCCACGTCCCTTAAGAATTTTATGTGTTTCAATTATATTACTTGTCATTTTTCTGAATTCTAGAGAATGCAGGTCTAGTATACTCAATGTCTCCTCAGAGGATAAATATCTGGTCCCAGAAAACAGCCTAGTGAACATTTGCTGCTCTCCTCTAAGGCAGCACATTCTTTCCTAGACAAGGAGACCAAAACTGTACAAATTACTTCATGTGTGGTCTCACCCAGACCCTATTTGAATTTGATATGATTTCTTTACCCTTTTACTATAGGCTGACATACAGTTAACCCGTCTAATTACTTCCTGCAACTGCAAGCAATGTTTGCTCCAAGCTGCATGGCTGTGCAGCCGTTCAGAAGGTTCCATGCATGCCTAGTGGATACACGCACATACACACCTCAGAGGTCCGCACAATGGCAGGAAAAACAAGAGGAAGTGTTTATGAGAAACATAGGTTACAAGTTAATTTCTGATTCTTGAGCAAAGATATCCAAATGTCTTTGAATACCAGCATTTCCTAATCTCTAAAAGATTCTGCTCTTCTATTTTTTTAAATCATGTGATAACTTCACCTTTGTTTTAAACTATATCCCAACTGCTATGCTATTCATGTCTAAATACATTTGGACGTTCTTTATACTGTCCGTACAGTTTATGTTACGATCCAAATTTGTTTCATTTATGAACTTGGACATATTAAACTTACTCCCTCATTAAATCATTCAAATCAATTGTAAATAATCCTTGTGGTATTCTGCTTGTTAGAGACTACCAACCCAAAAATGACCCATTTATTCACAGTCTCCTTTCTATCAACTAACCAATTCTCAATAATGTTAATATATTACCCTCAATTCCATTGTCCCTAATTTTGTATAACAACCCTGTGTGTTCAACTTTATTGAATGCATTTTAAAATCCAAATACTCTGTATCCATTGGTTTTCTTTGTTTTCCTGCTAGTTACAACCTGAAAACACTGTAACAGAATTATCCAACATGATTTCCCTTTCATGAATCTGCCTCCTCATGTTATTCTCTAAATATTGCATTACCCTCTCCTTCACATTAGGTTCTAGCCTTTTCCAATGTCTGATGTAAGGCAACTGGCATAGAGTTCCAAGCTTTCAATCTCTCCCTTCTCTGAATCTTGGGTTCATGTTTTCTAGAATTTATTAGATTCCAAGAAATTCAAATTTGTGTATCCACTATTTCTGTAGCTACCTTTGAGGATTTGATGATTTTTATTCCCATTACCTTTAAGTGGAGACTTGTAACCTTTACAATGTATTCATTTGAGTACATGTGAAAAGAAAACTAATTCTAATCCTAATTTATCAGTACCGTTTTTCCACCATGGTGTCTTTAAAATATCTCAAGGCCCTTCATGGGATGCAAATTTGGACATCAAACCAAGTAAAACAACATTATGGCAGACAGCTAAATATTTTGTCAAAGAGTTATGGAGTTGGCATTAAGACCATAAGATGTGGGAGTACAAGTAGGCAATTCAGCCCATTGAATCTGCTCTGCCATTCAATGAGATTATGGCTAATCTGATAATCCTAACTCTGCTTTTCTTGCATTTCCCCATAACCCTGGATAACATTACTGATCAAAAATCCGTCTATCTCAGCCTTAAATATACTTAAATATCCTGCACAGCCCTTGGTAGCTATGTGTTAGAGCAGGAGGAATAGATATACACAGATTGACTATTCACAGATTCTGAAAGAGGAAACTCCTCCTCAGCTATGCCCAAACAGGGTGATCCCTTACTCAGATAATACTCTCTGGTCCAAAATTCACCTACAAGGGGAAACAACCTCTCAGCATCTATTCTGTAAAGCCCACTAAGACTGTTATATGTTTCCACAGGGTCGTTTTTCATTCTTCTAAACTCCAATGAGGACCGGTCCAACCTACTCTTTTAAACAAAAAAAAACAAGATATGAAAAGTCAAAACCTCTCCCGCCCGACACTGTCCCCATCAGACGTTCCTGGAATAGGGAAAGCACAGGGTAAAATACAGAGTAAAGTTTTCACTATTCTATATTTAAATAGAAAGAAAAGTTACTTCGACTCTTGAAACAAAAATAAAGTCCCTTTGATTCTGGAAAATGAAAATCAATAAATTAACAAGAAAAAGCTTTCCTCTGACTCCATCCCCACCAACTGCTCTTGGGATAGGGACAAAAAGGGGTCGAAAAGGAAACTAAACCTTACCCGACACGTTCAAAATCAAAGCAAACTAAGAACAAATCAAAATATCCTCCGCTCAACCCCTTAGGGACAATACGGGTCTAAAATCCAGAGGAAAGTTCTTCTACTCATTTCAACTAACAATAAAATTACCCTCATACTGACCCCATCAAGCACAGCTGGGACAGGGACAGTATGGGGTTAAAGCCCCTCTTGGGTTTTTCAAGGGGTCCAAAATCAATACCGAAGAAAAATAAAACAGCCCCTTTCCGGGCACAGAACGGAGAACATACACAAATTTAAAAATTCCAACGGAAGCTTAAACTACTAAAATCAAAATATCATTGTCCGAGCTGATGATGTACTCCAGCCTCCACCGTATTGGTGAACACTGAATACTCTCGCTCCAGGGACACCTGGTATGATATCTTCTTTGAGATCAACCTTACGAGTAAGAAACTTCAGGCAATGGGCTTCAACAGTTTTTCTGCTATACAACAGCTGCAACAGACCAAGAAGTTTTGGGAGGAATATAGGAGTGATAAAGCATTTGAAAAGACACTAGTAAATGATTGTGAGTTTGCTGAGGTATGTGAACTATTAACAGATTTGAAACCAGAGCCAGCATTTATTCAGAGAAAGAGGCAACAGTTCACGTATGAGGCAATAGATGAATCGATTCAAGATCCAAATCAAAAATTAAAAGTAAACTTCCGCTTTTCAGTCCTAGATATTGCAATACAGTCAGTTAAAGAATGATTTGAACAGATCCAACAGCTTGATTCAATATTTGGTTTCGTCATTGGTACACATAGTTTGCAAAATAAGACTTCAAAACAGAGATTTGGAAAATTGCTTGAAGCCAGAGTCGGCATTACAACGTGGAAATTCAAATGGTATTGTTGCAGTAGATTTGTGCAGTGAACCGAAGGCTTTTTCACAATAACTTCCAAGACATCTTTTACACCTCAAGATGTACTGAAATTCATTTCTGAACATAGACTCACATACAACCTTCCATATATTTTCGATAAAATGTGGAGCTGTAGGAGCACAGCAGGTCAGGCAGCATCAGAAGAGCAGGAAAGTTGATTAAGAGACCAGACCCAAAACGTCGACTTTCCTACTCCTCTGATGCTGCCTGACCTGATGTGCTCCTCCAGCTCCACGTTTAATGGACTCTGACTTCCAGTATCTGCAGCCCTTACTATTCCCTATATTCTCATTGTTCCTCAGATTGTCTTGACTCTTCCAACTTCTGTTGCTATTGAGGAGAGTAGCTTTACAAATATAAAATAGATAAAAGTATACCTTCATTCTTCCATGCTGCAAGAGAGACTTTTTGGTGTCACTATCTCGATAAAACGTGAAATAGCTTTGAAACTTTGTCCCAAACAACGTATTGCCCGATTACTGAAACCAAAGCACAAATAGCAAATCTCTCAATGTTGTATTATAATTGTGCTAAGATTAAGAAAAAAAATCATTAAAATATTTATTTATATTTTAACATTGTTTATTTTGAATGCCAGGTATGTAAAGATGACATTTAATCCTAGACTTCTCATTTTTCTCTGTGTTGAATGTGTGGTGGAAGGGGTAGTGGGAGAATTAATTTGCTTAGGGTTCCAAACACTCTTGGGCCAGACCTGCAAAAATTATATTGAATTTGAAAATTTATCTCTTCTATGTTCCGTAAGTGCTGGGTTTTTCTAGAACTTCCTGTTTTTATTTAAATGATCTCCAGTATCCTCAGTATTTTGCTTTATATTTTATTGTTCTATCCTGCGTTTGAGAATCCCAGCACCTAACTATTTCCCAGGAGGCCAGCAATTCCAAACAATCTCTGTTTTTCTCTTAATGCAGTGATATTGATAATGCTGGTGTACTTCAGCTTTTCCTCAACATTGACTTTAGGAACGCTAGCAGTGGAAGACTCAGTGATATGGCACTGAAGGTTGGAGAGGTGGTAAATTTTTGAGATGGTCAGTAATTAATTGGCAACTATGTAATGGTCACATTATTATTTCATAAAAAATAAAGTTAAAAAGTAGATACTAGAGATGATGCCCCAGAACCCAAACCTAACAATAAAGATAACATAGGTTAAAATAAATTATTGTCTTAGCTTTTAATGTTTGGAATTACCATACAATATTATATCTTTTTCTTGACAGGATAACTTTAAAATGGGTGAGTACAAGGATTTGTTAACTCAGTCTCTTACTGCAACAAATCACGTTCAAGACTGCGCAATCATAAGTTTGAAAACTGCTTCAGTGGTGACAGCATCCATAGGATTCAACGTAAGAATATTACCTTTGTTATATATTTTTGGTGATGTTCAATACCTTCAGGTTGTAATGTTTGTCTCGATGATTGAGAAAATAATTATCTAGTTCTAGCAGAGGCAGATACCTCTCCTAACAGATGTGTGATTCTTCAGGAGTCTCGTGAGGTAAAGATATGGAATCATATGCTGGTGCAATCAGAAAAATTCTCAATTCGTTATGTGGTCAGTCTGCCCTAGGTTCCAGTGACACTCTATTTGAGGATTAGGAAGGATTAGGACTGGCACCTATGCAACCAATTTATTCCATAAATTGTTTCTATGACAGCAGGTTTCATCCCTAAATTATAGATTGAATAACACACAATTAAGAAACTATTCTCCCTGTCACTGATGAATAAGATGACCTAACTGCAGACTGAGATCAAAAGAAATTCCTTGAGCTTCAGAGAACACAGGGCAGATTGTAATGTATACATGATTAAATCTAGGTAGATGAGTAATGAAGGTGCAACAAAATTAATCTGGTTGAATTTGATTTTTTTAACCAGTTCACTATATAACACAAGAGAGCTGAGCATGGGCTGAAATCTCTTTTAATATTTATATTTTTTATGGTGGTTAGCTTGGCATATCATTTATTGAGTCATGTGGATTAGTACAAAATAAATTAACTGTTATTGCTACATGTGAGTGTAGTTTTATTTACAATGTAATTTTGCATTATGTAAAGAATAAACATTTGCTTCAAGTATTTTTAACATCAGTTAGTCCACGGGGATAATACCTACTGGTTTTATATCTAGTTTTACTTGAGATTTTGTGGCTTCAAAGTGTCCACTAGTTATCCAGGTATAATCCCTTTTTTTGTTGTTTTTATTGTCTTCTGGCATTTAAATTCACATGAAGTTTATTCCAGTTGCTCTAGCTTATTTTTATTTCCCAGCATAACATCATTCTCAGTGTCACACTAAAAATACAAGATACCTGGACCAGAGTTTTGGACTAATTGAGTTTTACAGCAGGGGAAGGGTAGGATATCAGTAAAAAGGTACAGTGTATAATCAAGCCTAACTGAGGGATGTACAGTCATTCCTCTGTATCCGTGAGGGCTTTTGTTTTTGAGGACCCTGTGAATGATGAAATTTGTGAGTGCAGAGCTTGTTAAAATACATGAAAATAGTCAAAAATATCACAGACATGTGATGTTTGCCCATGGATGTTGATTTTTGTTTTTTTTTAGCACGAATAGGCGAATTTGTCATTTGCGATTTCATGGATACAGAGGAATTTACTATATAGGGTTTTAGTAGCTGAAGAACTGAGTTGCAAAGTTTTCCAGGAGTGACAATTTGATGATCACCTTGGCCTCTTGTGAAGTCCTTAATCACAGATCCTACCCTTGGTCTACAATTCCGTTTATGAACATCAAAAAAAAATGACTGAGCACATTGTACAGCAAAGTCGTGCGCCCCAGACAACATCCTGGCTGTAGACTTTTTAATTTATTTCTTCAGGGTCGTGGTCATCGATGGCTAGGGCAACATTTATTTCTCATTCCTAATTACCCATGGGAAGGTGGAAGTGAGCTGCTTTCTTGATTTGTTGCAGACGGTGGGGAGGTAGCACCTACAGTGCTAACAGGAAGGAAATTATAGAGTCATAGGGTTGTACAGCATGGAAAAAGGCTGTTTGGCCCATCATGCATATGCCAGTCATAAAGTTGAAGTTTGAACTTTGAAGTTACAGTTCCAGGATCATGGCAAAAAAATATTTCCAAGTTAGATGGTGTGTGACCATAGTATTTACATGGTTGGTCTAGTTCATTTTCTGTTCACTGATAGCCCCAAGGATCTTGATAGTGAAAAATTCAGTGAAGATAATTCTCTTAAGTGAATATGATTAGATTCTGTCTTGTTGAAGAAGGTCATTGCCTGGCACTGTGTAGCACAAATGCTACGTATTACCTATTAATCCAAACCTGGTTGTTATCTAGGCCTTATTGCTTCGGTATCTACAGGGACATGAATGCTGCTGAACATGGTGCAATCATAATCAAACATCCTTATTCTGTAAGGGTGGAGGGGTCTCAAAGAGTTAAGATTGAGGAGTATGTCAAGCACCACCCAATATGTTGATATTATATAGATTTGGTAGAAGGACAGGTTAGGATCTTGAAAGACTAAAGAATATGACCTATACTGATCCTCCTTATTGTCCCTGTAACAATGTCTACCCTTTAATATAACTTCTACTACACCAAACCAAGTGGACTGTGTAGATCCCTACCTTATAAGAAGATGACGGCAGCAAATCGGCCCCATGGCAAAGACAGTCTCCTATAACAATCTGTTCAATGAAGATTGCTCTTTCAAACAACAACGTAGGCTTCAGTTTAGTGGCCTCAGGATGGCAGTGGTGGAGATATGAACGTTCCTTTAAACGCAGCTCTAATGCCACTCATGCAGACAGTTAGCAGCTGAGAGATGCATATTCAAGAACACGACAGGACAAATGCTTGTGGCAAAATTTAATAAGACAGAATTTACAGTCAATGGTAAAAGCATTTGAGACCCGAACGCGGCACCAAGAAGAGGCATCTAACAGCAGAAGAGTGTTGGGAACTCCCTTGAAGTACTGAAAGTATTTATCAATTACTTTGACCTCAAAGCAAATAAAATTCCTGAAACTGCAACATTTAACAGAAGAGTTCTGAATTTAGGGGAATACATTGATAAATTCATTAAAGAAAATTACTTGCCCAGTTTTATTCTCCCATACAAGAGGAAATATCCATCAGATATTCACCAACTACACTCTCCTCAAGTTCTTATATGGTAAATAAGAGCATATCTCATTCTCAGGCCTAAACTGTTAATCCTCCATCACATAATGTCTTCATCCCAGGACCGAGTAAACAGAAACATCTTTGAAAAGTTTCAAAGGCAGTTGTGTTTTTTTTAATTTTAGCGCATCATAACTACACACAGTGCATCAGATGTGGTCTCAGGATTGCCCTATACAGATGCAGTAAAACATCCCTAAGATCATACCTGACACTCTTTGCAAGAAACAGCATCATTCCTTTTACTTTCCAAATCACTTGCTGCATCTTCAAACTAACTTTATATGATTTATGTACCAGGACTCACAAATCCCTCTATTGCACCGAGCTCTGCGTTTTCTCTCCAGTCATATAATTAATTGTTGTTTTATCCTTTCCACAAAACAAAAACTTCCCATAACCCACATGGTACTGTTTTATTTTCTTTCCCAAAGGTTTGCTCACTAACATCCCCTCGTCTATACCCCATTGTAGATGCTCAGCTTCCACTTGGCATCTTATTGGATGACTAACCTGGTGTACTAGCAAATTGAGCTCCAATCCAATCAGCCCTTCATCCAAATCGTTAATCTAGATTGTAAATTGTTGATGACCTCACACTGATCCCTGAGATATTCCACTAAGTACAGCTTTCCAACCTGAAAATAAATAGTTATTTCTATTCTGTATTTCCTTTTAGCTAACCAGGGCTCCCCTGTTCCTGTGGAGGAGCCTAGAAAGGTTGCATGGCCTCCTCCTGTGGTGTGTAGCTGGTTGTCGAGGTGTGTATGAGCTCAGCAATTCACCATGAGGGTCATTTGTTGTCAGATCATCAGGTAGAGGTTGTATTGTCAATGATCCTGATCCCTGAGAGTTTAAAAGACGATCGCAGGATAAACTAAAGTTGAGTAGAAAGCTGCACGGTCAAAACTGCTGTCTTTCAGATGCAGCAATAAATCTAGTCTGCCTCCTTAATTTGGTGCTCAATTTTCCCCATACACGTATTGAGGAGGAGGGGAAATTTCCTATTAGCCTGGTTAAAATTTGTCCCTTTAACAACACCACCACCTCAGATAATCTTAATGATTAATTTCATTTTTGGCTGTGGGTGCTATGTAGAAAAATTGCTGCAGTTGCTGTTAAAATATATTAAAATAAACAATTGTCTTTGAGGGATGACCAATAGACGTTTATAAAATCATGAGGAGCATGGATAGGGTAAATGGTAAAGGTCTTTTCCCCAGGTTGGGGGAGTCCAAAACTAGAGGCCATAGGTTTAATGTGAGAGGGGAAAGATTTAAAAGCGACCTAAGGGGCAACATTTTCATGCATACAGTGGTGCGTTTATGGAATGTGTTGCCAGAGGAAGTGGTGGAGGCTGGTACAAGTACAAAGTTTAAAAGTCATTGGGAAGTAGGGACGGTTTAGAGGGTATGGAGCAAATGCTGGCAAATGGGACTAGATTTATTTAGGATATGTGGTCAGGATACACAGTTTGGACTGAAGGGTCTGTTTCCGTGCTGTGTATCTCTCTGACTTACGTAGATTAGTGGAACAATATGACTATTGTTGTTGGAATTGCTGATGAATATTTGTATGATTTATTACATTCAGAGAAGGTTTGATTCTAGAGAAAACCATATAGATGGTGAGTGAGGTCGAAGTCCAGAAGCAGCCCAGATCAATCTTAAGAGAAGCACAATGTTATGACAGGAGATTATAATCCATTTGGTTTCTAAGGAACAAAACCATGAAAGGCACATGAGAGAAATCAGTACAAAAGGTAGGGCAGACACTAGATACTAAAAGTCTTTATCAGTGATGTGGTGCTCTCAAACGTAGGCAATGTCCAGCTATTAAAAAGGTATTCTTCATCTATGATGCAGTAGATCACTTTCAGTGGCATACTCAGTCACAGATACAGAGAAGTAGGAAGTTGAATTGCTACCAAACAAAGAAATTAATCAGGTAGAACAGTCTACAATAGAAGAAAAGCCTAAAGTGTTCCAAGAGGAATTAAGTAATCCAGACTCAGCCTTTTTGCAAGAAATTTGAATTCACTAAAATCTGGAATTAAAAGTTGGCCTAATGGCAACCAAGTCAATTATATTACCAACTCATCTCATTAACTAACGCTGTGTAAAGAAGGAAATCTGCCATCTTTACCTCAGCTGGTCTAGATGTGACTTCAAACTCCCACAACAAAAAGGTTGTCCTTAACTATCCTCTGAAATGGCTTAGCAAGCTATTCAGTTGTATCATTCCATTGAAGTCTTGACAAAGAAATGAAACCAGATGGACCAATTGACATCAACCTAGGCACTAAAACAAGAATGGCATATCTAATCCTGCAAAGTCCTCCTTATTAAAATGTGGGGCTGGGGTTGGGGCTAGGACTGTGAGAACTATTGTCCTTCAGACCAGCCAAGCAACAGCCTGATATAGTCACAGTCACAGAATCATCTCTTACAGACAATTTCCCAGATGTCACCAATGGTATCCCCGGGTGTGTCCTGTTTTATCAGTAGCACAGATCCATTAGAGGTGGTAGCACATAAGGAATCTGTTGGGAAGGAAGTCCTGGGAGTCTTCAACATTAACTGAATGCAAAGAAGTCTCACGGTATTGCGTCAAACAAGAAAACCTCCTACTGATTCCCCGAATGCACACCCCTCCCCTACCTCAGCTGATAACACAGTACTACTTCATGTTGAACACCAAGTGAAGTAAGAACAGCAGATGGCAAGGGCACAGTATGTACTCTGAGTAGGGGTCTTCAAGGACCATCACCAAGAGTAGCTCACTAGCACTGCTGCTGACTGAGTTAGGTAAGTACTAAAGTACATTGCTACACCGAGTCTGCGGCACTTGGTGAGGGAAGCAACAAAAGTAAAAAACTTACTTGACCTCATCCTCACCAACCTACTTGTTGCAAATGCATCTGTCTATGATAACATTAGTAGCAGTGACCACCACATCGTCTTATGGAGATCAAGTCCCAACTTCACGTTGAGCACACTAACCATCGTGTTGTGTGGCACAATCACTGTGTTAAATGGCATAAACTTTGCATAGATCTAGCAACTCAAAACTGGACAATAATGAGGTGCTGTGGACCATCAGCAGCAGCAGAATTATATTCATCCAAAAATTGTAACCTTACAGCCTGTCATGTCCCATACTCTGCCATTGCCACCAAATCAGGAGATCAGCACTAATTCAATGAAAACTGTAGGAGGGCATGCTTGAAACAGCACCAGGCATACCTAAAAATAAGATGTCGAACTAGTGAAGCTACAAGACAGGAGTCCTTGCATGCCAAACAGTGGAAGCAGCATGCAATAAACAAGGCTATGCAATCTCACAGTGGATCAGATCTAATCTCTGCAGTCCTGCTACACCAAGTCATGAATGGTGGTGGTCAATTAAACAACTAACATGAGGCGGAGTTTCCACAAATATCCCTATCCTCAATAATGGAGCAGCTCAGCACCTAAGTGCAAAGGACAAGACTAAAGTTTGTGCAGAAGTGCTGAGTGGATGATCTGTCTCAATCTTCTGATATCCCTAGAATCACAGATGCCTGAATTCAGTTCACTCCATGGAATGTCAAGAAACACCTGAATATTGAAAATCCTCTGGGTTCTGACAGCATTCTGGCACATACTGATGATTCGTGCTCCAGAACTTGCTGTGCCCCTAGACAAACTGTTCCAGTACAGCTACAACAATGGCATCTATTCAACAATGTGGAAAATTTCCCAGGTTTGTTCTATGCACATAAAGCAAGCCAATTTCAACCTAGCCAATTACCGCCCCATCAGTCTACTCTTGATTATCAGCAAATGACGGTTGGGTAGAGTTTCACCAGGACCACTCAGCTCTTGAATTCATTACAGCCTTGGTCCAAACATGGACAAACCAGCTAAACGTCAGAGGTGAGGTGAGAGTGACTGTTCAAGGCAACATTAGAGTATGATATCATGGAGGCCCAGCAAAACTAGAGTCAATAAGAATCAAGAGAAAAATTCCCTTCTGGTTGGAATCATACCTGACACAAAGAAAATAATTTGTGGTTGTCCAGGGGCAATCATCTCAGCCCAGAATATTATTGCATGAGCTCTTCAAGATAGTATTCTAGGCCCAACCATCTTCAGCTATGTAAATAGTCATTTGATCATAAGGAACATGAGTATTACTATCAAAGATACATTTTGTCAAAGCTTTTCATCTTTCATTCATTCGGACAATTTGCAAGATTACCAATAAAGAGGAAAACCAACATTTATATATAAGTAGAGAATACGACTTGTTTCGCAAGTAGACTCTAATTGATAGAAGCATTGCCATGGAGTTTGAAGCAGTTAGTGATGTTTGACTGTTAACTGCCAGGCTTTATTGAGATTTTAAACCAGCCAAGTTGACTCTGCTTGGTTAGGGGATTGTCCTGTGATATGTGAGAGTGAATGGCTGTCATCTGTTTTGTTGAACTGAAACAGGCACAGTTCAGTACATGTTCTTTCTGTCTGCAAAGAACACGGTCCTGTGTATTAATGTGTGTATTTTCCAGTACATGCAAATGCATTACGTTAGCCCAGCTAACAATCCTAAATTGGTTGTCAGTATATTTTTTTGCGCAGTCAGGTTCTCCAGCAAATGTTGTCCAATCACAAAACCATGAGTCAGGAGTGTGGTATAACATTCTCTACTTCCCTAGATGAGTGCAGCTCCACTAACACTCAGGAACCTTAATACCATCCAAGACAAAGCGATCCACCTGATGGCATCAGATCCAATACCTTAAACATTCACTTTCGCCATCACTGAAGCGTAATGACTACATTGTGTACCATTTACAAAATGCACTACAGTAATTGATGTTGGCTCCCTTGAGAGCACCTTCCAAACCTGCAACCTTTATCATCTAGGAGGAAAAGGATAGGAACACCATTACTTGCTAGTTCTCTTCCAAGTTCCACAACATCCTTATTTGGATATATATCATGGTTCTTTCATTGTCACTGAGTCAAAATCATAATCCTCCTACCTTCCTGCACTGTGGTGTGCGTCCATCACATGAACTGGGGTAATTTAAGATATTTGCTCACTATCACATTCTCAAAAGCAATTAGGGATGGACAATAAATGCAGATGTCCTTCACGATGGAACATTATGACAAGATTCCAAGAAGTGGTCATAGTTTCAAATACTGTTAATGAGCCACTAGCAATTTGGCTAATGTCTTCACCTAGGGACTTCTTAGTCCTGATAGCAGGCCAAAAGTTGATGGATGAATTCAAGCACAAACTTTTCAGAAAGGTGGAAAAAGAGTTGGCAGACAATGGTACTTTCAAGAATTGTAGGGAAAGAAAGGTCAGATGCAGAACTGTAGTTGGAAGGGATGGATGGATTGAGGGTTGGTTTTCAAGGAGTGGAGGATAGTGTTGAAGGCATCTGCTGTTTGAAAACAAACCATTGACCACATTGATAGCATTGTATGAAAAGAGGCATACCAGGAGATTAGCAGCAAAAATGCTCTGATTGGCACATCCACCATGATGCCACATTTACAGACTTTTCCACATCCGTTTATGATAAGCATTGGCAGGTAGCCTTCATTGGTATTCTGCTTCCAACATTTAAGCATCTGAATGTATTATAATGAACTCACCTTGCAAAATAGGGTACAGAAAGCAAGCCTATGTGTGTCATTAAATGAATAGTTTGTAATCAAATGGTTATATACAGCATCTAGTGGAAAATCTAGACTACTGTGGGCATATTGATCACTAATGGATTCCAAGTTACTTTTCAACATAGTTTCAAGGTATGTCTGAAATACTCAGCAATCACGTATTGCATTAACTATGTTTAACTGTCCTGATATTAGGCATCTTTCTTACCAATAGATTTCAGTGAAGTGAAAAATAGTTTTCTGTAACTTGTTTTTTAGCTGGAACCAGAAGAAATTCAAGCCTTCCTTAAAACTTTCAACCAGCCAAGCAACTTCCGAGATGAAGGGCTTTACTTTAAGAACATAACCTACTTATGTGTCAGAGCAGATAATAGTTCGGTGTACGGTAAACAAGTAAGCTGAGATATGTTGTTATCTCTTTTAAAATACTCTTGCTCAATTTTTATTCAATCTACATTCATATTTTCAATTGAACCTTCTGTTATGTCCTTTGGTACATTTTTATAAACTGGATGTATACAAATACAGTTCAGAATGAGAAATGTCAAAAGAAAATAATTACAAAAGGTTTGAATTAACTGTTTCATGCATTTGGAGCCTGTAGTTTTGAGGGCTTTTGAGATATAAAATCCTTTTAATTAAAATATCTAGATACCAATTCTTAATTCATATTCATATAAATTCTAATTTTTGAATAAAAGAAGGTCAGAAACTGGGAATTCTGCAGCAAGTAACTCACCTCATAATTTCCCAAAGCCTGTCCATCATCCACAAGGCACAGGTCAGGAATGTGATGAATACTCTCCACTTACTTAGATGAGTGCAGCTCAAACAACATTCAAGAAGCTTGACACCATCCAGGACAAAGCAGCCTACTTCACTGGCACTCTGTCCAGCAACTTGAACATCCACTCCTTCGACTATTCATGTACAATGACAGCATTATGTAGCATGTGCAATATACACTTCAGCAACTCATGAAGCTTCCTTTGCCAGCAACTTCCAAACGCGCAACCTATACTATCTAGAAGGGCAAGACCAGTAGACACATGGGAAGATAACCAACTACAAGTTCCCAACCAAACTACACAACTCCCTAACTTGAAACTATACCACCATTCCTGTTGCTGGGTTGAAATCCTTGAACTCGTAGCAGCATTGTGGATGTACCCACACCACATGGACTCAAGAAATGCAGTGCATTGCTACCTTCACAAGGTGAATTAGGATTGGACAACAAACACTGACCCAGCTAGCAAAGACCATAACACAGGAATGAATGAAAAAATATATAATAATTGGGTCCTCAAATGTGCCTGACCTAACAAGAGATCAATGCCTAGTGATTATGAATCAAGTAGAATTTATTAAGCTTCCTTCCCTATTTTCCACAACTTCCTCTTTGTCCTTCACTTTGACCACACTGATCCTCCTCCATTTTTGTCACTTCCACTTCTAAGTGACATCAAATATATTTCTTTTGAGTTTAAAAGGTAATTTTGATAATGTCTATGTATAAAGAAAGAAGGGTCCTGACCCGAAATGTTAACTTACCTGCTCCTCTGATGCTGCCTGGCCTGCTGTGTTCCTCCAGCTCCACACTGTGTTATCCCATATTGAAATGCAAGTTGTTGTTAGTTACTCCAATTTAAATTGAACACAGATCAGAGCTACTCATGAGCTCATCGACAGTGATTATGGTGGTTACAATAGGAATACCTGCCAAATCTGTCTGTTCAATTTATTTCACTATCTTTCGGAAGAGTTGGTCCTATGAAGGTTTAAGATAAGTCAAAGATGGCACACAAGTGTTCTCACGAATAGAGATAGTAGGAACTGCAGATGCTGGAGAATCTGAGATAACAAGGTGTAGAGCTGGATGAACACAGCAGGCCAAGCAGCATCAGAGGAGCAGGAAGGCTGATGTTTCGGGGGCTAGACCCTTCTTCAGAAATGGTTCAATTTGTTCTCATGAATAGTTGAGTGCTGGTTCACAGTATGCAAAAGAATCTCTTCCTAACTGACTGCTCAAAAATTCTCTGCCAAACTCCAAGCAACTTCTTTACATTGCAATACTGAATAATATTTTTGCAATTAGTGGATGATAGAAATTCACCTATCGTCAACATAGGCAAATGGTAAATCCTATTTATTTGTCCAGCCTCGAAAAGTTGGCATATTAAAGGACATTCAGAAAAGGGAGTGCAAGTAAGACATCCGCAGTAGTCTGAATATTTGTATCACTTCTTTGTTTCACAAGTTGTTTTTTTTTTGTAATCAGTGATAAGATTCTACATCTGGTTATCTGCAATGCATAAATGGGCTGACTGTATCGGCTGATTAATCTGATAGGAGAATCAAAATGGCATTATACTACATAAAGTCTGGAATGAAAATAATGACATTCAGAATTAATTACAACCCACAAATATGTTGATGTTTCTCAGGTTACTAAAAGAAAAAGAATGTTATCTTTCTTGAATTGGAGCCTGCTATCAAGTCATAATGAAAAGCTGTTTATTTATGAAAATCAGTTACTTGGGAACTAACTTGAAATATGAGGAATCAGTTTTGTTGGAATATTTTCTCACAGTACTTCCTTTAACCCCTTAGGACAGTCCAGAGCTTCTATAAGTGACTTCAATTTACTGCTTTTTGTTTGCTAGTATATGAATGGAGGTTTATATGGGCCCTTCTGTGGCTCAGTCAGCTGTCTCAAGCTTTAACCACCACAGGCTGCTACTCTTCAGGCCTGCATTCTGCCTTTGTTGCTGTCCCCTGAACCGAGCAGAAAGCCCTGACAGGGCAGGTCTTCAAATCGGGCAGAGCCCAAAGTTATGTCATCAATCTAGGTCAGGGAAGTTGCAAGAATTTCACACCGTAGGCACCAAATTCCTACCAGGGGCTCCGATGATAAACAAAAGCCATACACTTTAACAAAAAGCTGCAGGAAGATAACTTATTATTCCCTTCCTCATGATTCAAAAATCTACCTCCTCTTTTGCAGCCAGTTTTAATAGATCCAAGTGCTTGTTTTGCTTCAGTTCTGTGTTATTCCTCCTGCCAATAAAATCAGTTGGAACCTTGCTAATTAATTATATCACTTTACAGCTTTTTATGTATAACTAAGAATCCATTCCTTTTTTTATGTGTATTACCTTGGTCAGGGTCCATGTGTAGATCAAATATTTATTAGTAAAATGTAGATTGGAAAGCAAGCTCAAGAACATACAGGCGTGTTAATCTCCGAGGAAGCATGTACAATTTTCAATCAATATGTTTCCATGCTGCATTTTTAGGCAATTAAAATTCTTCAAATTGAAACATCTGAGACAGGGAACAAGAATTCAGAGTGTTGAAATCATTCTGTATTTTTGTATTAGTATTAACCTTAATCTGCTCTAGTTTGGAAGGCTATAAATTTGTATCCTGTACTGGACATATGATCTCACATTTAAATGAACTCCTCAAAGCATATTAAAGCAGTGTTGGATTGCTGGATTGCTACAGCAGTTCAGTTGGTAATTTAAACAGAAGCCTTCCCTGCCCATCAACGATCCTGTGGCATTGTGCTGTCAATCCCTCAAAGTAGCAATTCTGACCATTAGTTTGTTATTCACTTCATTGTTGTTTATGGAATGGGTCCGTGCAGAAAGCTTACTTACAGTGATTGCCTTTCAAAGTAGCTTATATTGTATGAAGAACATAATACATATCCGGAAAATATGGTGGAATACACATGCAAATACTCTTTCTATGTCTTACACATTTCTGTTATATTTCTATTTTAAAATCTTTTTGTTGGAATTCATTGGCTTCTTATAATGATAGCTCATTTGAAATTGTTTATCCCATATTACTGATTATGTTCGAATCATAGAATCCAGTGTGGAAGCAGGCCACTCAGCCCACCGAGTCGAGACTGATTCTCTGAAGAACATCCCACCCAGACCCACAGCCCTACCATTTCCCTTGGCTAATCCACCCAAGCCTACAATCTGTGGGCAATTTCCCATAGCCAATCCACCTAACCTGTATGTCTTTGGACTGTGGGAGGAAACCCACACAAACACAGGGAGAATGTACAAATTCCCGAAGACAGTCACCCGGGGGTGAATTGAACCTGCGTCCTTGGCGTTGTGAGGCAGCAGTGCTAATCACTGAGCCACTGTGCCACTGCCAGTTCATAATCAGCAATATGGGGGTGGGGGAGTGGGGGTCGGCGGGGGGGGTCACATTAGCTCAAATGGCCAGAAGTGGCAATGTGAGCCATGGACCCCCAAATGACAGTAAGGTGCTATGCTCCAGCTAAAGAACTGAAACAAGGGTCACCCAGAAGAAGGGCAAGGCTGGCAAGGAGAGAAAGGAGATCACCAGAGCAGGACACCAACTGACTCAGCCTCTTCCTGGGAAGTCAGAGTCAATGGAGGAGGAGGTAATGATGGAGTCAGGGAGTGGACAGAGGTGAGGAAGAACCTGAAAAGAAAAACCACATGGGTCCCTGCTGGCCAACAGCAAATAGGAAAGAGGCAGCTGCATGAAGGAGACATTAGCAGCTGCTCTGACAACGAGGATGTGCAGAGGGACAAAGGAAAAAAAAAGAGACATAGTGCCAGAGGGGAAGGCGATAAGCATCCCCAATGCCAGAAATGGTGGACATTGTTAGGGGCCAGGTGAAACCACACCTCCAGCCATCAGGAACCATGGGGTACCCACCGAACCATAACTCCAGGCAACCAGCAGCAGCAACAGTGCAAACAAGGAGCAGAGCACAACAGCAGCTCTGTCTGATTCAGAACTGGACCTTTCTGGCTTCATCCTCACCCCGATGGCACCAATCAGGACAATGCCCCCAGGGAGGAAGAGGACAGCTCCCTCAGCCCCATGAGGGGCAACTGTTTACTCACACCATGGGAATGCAGGAGCTCGCCAAGTGACAGGGCCGTGAGAGGACCGATATTGGACAAGTTGGTAACCTTAAAATTCTTTAACAGTAAGTGTTTTAAAATTGCTAGCATTAACATGTGTAGCATAAAAGCCACTATGCGATGTGTTTCCACCTTGGCTTACCTGACCTCTTATGCTTTCCTCTTGAGATAAGTACAGCCTGATCCCAACACCAGATGAATCCACAGGGAAGGCTTGCAGCTTCTCAGAGCCATTTTGTAAGACTTCCCGTGTGAATTTTAAAAATCTATCATCTTTCCTGACAAAACTTATAATATTTTATCTACATATTTGTGACAAACAGGTAGGAGTGGGAGCTAAGGAGGGGAGCTTAATGTTGCTGTCCATCATCTGCTAGTCAAATTAGAGAAGGGAGATAGAGGGCTTGGTGACACGGTGCAATGAAAACAATCTGTCTCTCAATGTCAGAAAAACTAAAGAACTGA